AGCGCCTGCTTGGTGCCCATGACGGTGCCCCGTCCAGCCTTCGCCCCGGCACTGGGCGCTGCCCGCGAGGCCGCCCTGGGGCCCAGCACGGGGCCGCTGGGGGTCCTGCCCGACGCCGAGGGGGCCAGCGACCTCACGGAGGTGCTCAGAGCCCTCGCCCCGCCAGAAGCCAGGCTGCGGGCCTTGCCCCCTGCGACTGGGGGCTTGGGGGCCCCGATGCCTTTGGCGGGGCTGCCCCTGCAGGTGGGAGCAGGCCCTGGCGTGGGGCTGGTGGATGGCACCCCCAGCCTGGGTACGGCCCGGCCTGGCCGCCCAGCAGGCTCCCTGGCCCTGCCACCGCTGTGCGCCAGGCCTTCGGGCCGCTCGAGTGACGCAGGTGCAGCGGGACGGTGTGCAGCCTCAGCCTTGCCAGCCCGCCCCTTCAGGCTGGACGTGGCCCTGGGAGCAGGGTGGTCACCCCGACCGCTGGGCCTGGCCTCCTCTTCCCCTCGGAGGGCGGTGGCCACGGCAGCCCGAGTGAGGCCCACGGCCGGGGGAGGGGCCGGGCTGTTCTTGGGCTCCAGGCTGGACTTGCGCACGGGCGGGGCCGGGGGGACCACTCCGCCAGGCCTCAGGAGGGGACCGCTCTTGGGAGTGGTGCTCTTCTTGCTGGAGGTGGCCTTCAGGCTGCCCCAAGAGGCTGCGGCCTCAGCCGGCGTGTCCCCGCAGGACGCCGTGGGCGTGGTCACGCCCAGCGTGGTGGCGCCCCTCCGCAGTGGCGGAATCCGTGCCTCGGGCCGCCGTGCTGCTCTGGTGACCACTTCACACCCGTCCACCACCCTCTGGGAACACGCCGGCAGTGCTTGGGCGTCAGGCGGCCAGGGGGGGCCCACGGGCGGGCTGGAGGCCCTGCCGGCAGAGGCCGCCGGGACGGCGTCAGCCTCATCGGCACGGAGCAGCCACGGGTCCTCGAACAGGCCCTCGGGGCCCGGGGGGCTCTGGCCCAGGCGCAGGCCACCCTGTTGGCCTACAGCGGAGGTAGTCCTGGGTTTCCGGGGAAGGCTGGAATGGATGGTGTGTGCTGGGGGTGGACCCCGCGGGGACCCCGGCCGGGGCTCCCTGCCAGACCGGGAGGGGGCCACGGAGGCTGACTCTCCCAGGTGAGAAGCCCGAGCTGGGCTGTCCGATCTGCTTCGCTCTGGGAGCCCGAAGTTACCATCCTCTGGGGAGCCCTCTAGCGTGGGAGGTCCCCGAGGGCCGGGCCCTGCCAGCGACTCAGGGCTGAGAGGGTCAGGGCTGGCCCAGAAGGGGGGCTGCGGCGTGGGGCCTCGGCTGTCAGCCGCGCAGACGCTGACCTCGCTGAGCCAGGAGCTGATGGAGGAGCCATGGCTACCGACAGTCCAGGCCGCCTCATCCCAGAGCCCCCCAGGGCTGTCGGTAGCCTGCAAGGTGTAAGCGTCGAACTCATCATTGATGCTGCTGATGATGCTGACTGGCCGCGAGCCCGAGGCCAGGGCCTGCAGGGAGCAGTCGCTGCTGAAGCTGGCGAGGCTGGCAGGCCGGGGGCCGGCGAAGCCGCCCAGCGGCAGCTCCTCCACCACCGTGAACACCAGCTCGTCCTCCCCATTGAGCTCCACGGGCTGCTGCAGGGTCACCGTGGTGGTCAGCAGGCCCCGGTCCAGGCAGCGGCCTTGAGCCAGAAGGCGGGGGCAGCCCGCAGTGGGTGTCCGCACCGCGACGCATGTGCCCCCTCCCCCAGGCTCCTCTGGCTGGGGTAGTGGTGGAGGGGCAGGGCCAGGCAGCGGCCTTCTGCCCCCGGGGGCCTTGGCCGTCACGGGCACCTCTCTCTGGTCTCCCCGGGCGCCAGTCTTGGAGGGCTCAGGGGTGCCCCCGAGGGGATCTGGGCTGGGGCTGTCCAGAGGTATGCTGGCCGCGAGCCAAGCGCCTGGGGCCTTCCTAGGGGGTGCCGCCTCGGGGGGCTGGGGCTTCCGGGCCGCGCGGGCAGGGCTGGCCGGGGGCGCCGGGGGGCCCTCGCTGCCGTCGATGAACTCCAGTCTCTCCTGCAGCTCAGCGAAGGTGCTGCAGCGGAAGTGGTCGCAGTCAGCGTCCCGAGGACCCCCAGAGGTCCGGCGGCGGCCCAGCGCAGGAATGATGGGCACGAAGTCAGGGGGGCCCTCGTTGTCGCTGAGCTCGCGGTCCGACAGCGCCGCCCCCCCGGGCCCCACGTAGATGACGGTGTCACAGGACTGCTCACTGCTCGACGAGTAGTCGGGGTCGCCGGGTGCCCGGCGCTCGGGGTCCAGGGCCGCGGTGCGTGGGGGGCAGGGCCGCAGGGCCGGGTGTCGGCGGGCACGGCCCTCCTCGCACGAGCTCTCTCCGCCTGAAGAGCTGGACGCATACTGGGAGCGGGTGGGACCAGATCAGCGGCTAGCATCCCCTCCCCTTGCACCCTCCCCACCCCCACGAGCTCCTGGCAGGACCCTGCACCCCCCTAACAAACGCGGCGGCAGGAACTGTGTTAAAGAGGATCGCGTGCAAATAACGTGCCACAGACAGCTCATCGACCCCACAAGGACGACAGCGTGGACCGTGTCACAGCCAGGAAACGAGGGCTCGGTCTAGGACACGTGCCCACAGCCAACAGCCCAGACGCCTGACCAAGAGCGCCCTCCGACAGGCCTGCGGGGCATAGTGAGTCTTCCCAGCCTGGGGTAGGGGCAGGGCGGGCAGACAGAATAAGGCCTGGTGGGTCATTCCAATGGCCCACGCCCACCTGGGGCCGAGAGAGGCCGAGCGACTGCAGAGCCTGCGGAGGCGGAGGCCCGTGGCCCGACACGCTGCACTGGGACCCTGGCCCACCAACCTTGGCCTTCTTCCTGCGTAGGCGGTGGATGCGAGCGGCCAGCTGCACGGTGCTCAGTGTCTCAGCATGGTGGGCCGGTGCGTCCGAGATGTGTGCAATCATGGTGGTGCGGCCGTTGGTGGTGGCCAAGGACTCACGCAGCAGCATGGTCAGCCTGTGGTCCCTGGGGCCAGAGAGGGGCTCAGGCCAGGGTGGCGGGCAGGGTGCGAGGCTGAGCTGGGGCCCCCCAGGCTCTGGTCTGCACCACCTCCATCCCTGCTCCCTGAGGTCTGGGACCCCACCAGCCTGGACCAGCAGCGGCCGTTCTGGACACCCCTCTGCAGCCCCATGGAGCTGCCTCAGCTCCCCCCACCCCTGGACCCATCCCTCACCTGTAGGGCACGTGCTTGGCTCCATTGACCAGGGCCAGGATGACACTGCCCAGGGCCGACAGGGACAGGCACAGGGGGCCCCCAGCGGCCTCCCCGCCCCGGCTGGGTGCCGCCGCCTCGCAGCTGCCCAGGTCAATGAGGTGCAGGCGGCTTCGGCCCCCAGACACTGCAACCGAAGGGCAGGCAGTGAGCGCAGCCACAGGCACAGACCTACCACCACGGCGGGCCCTGGGGAGACCTCAGGGAGACCCCAGGGGACAGGTACCATCAAGGTGGACATCTTGGGGCAGGGGACGGGGTCAGGGAAGGTGGGATAAGGTGGGCCTACTTTCGGACAATATGCACACACACACTCACACCACCCGTGCGTGCAATGTACATGCACACAACACACACCTACACCACCTGTGAACATAACACACGTCTATGCACATGCACACACAGATACCATCACCCAAGCTCACACACACCACCCATGCACACACACCACCCGTGCACGCACACACACCATCCATGCACACACAAACCACCCGTGCACACACACCCCATCCGTGCACATACCATCGATGCACACACATACCACCCATGCACACACACACCATCCATGCATGCACACACACCACCCGTGCACGCACACACACCATCCATGCACACACAAACCACCCGTGCACACACACCATGCATGCACACACACCACCCCTGCATGCACATACACCACCTGGGCACACACACCGTCCATGCACACATACATACCACCCCTGCGTGCACACACATCCATGCACACACACACCACTCATGCACACACACACGACCCATGCATGCACATACACCACCTGTGCATGCACACACACCATCCATGCACACACCACCCGTGTGCACACACACCATCCGTACATGCACACACACCACCCGTGTGCACACACCATCCATACACACACACCACCCATGCACGCACACGGCACTCATGCACACACCACCCCTGCGTGCACACACACCACCCATGCGCACACACCATCCATACATGAACACACACCACCCGTGTGCACGCACACACCACCCATGCACACACACACCACCCATGCACACACAGCACTCATGCACACACCACCCCTGCGTGCACATACACCACCTGTGCACACACACCATCCATGCACACACACACACCATCTGTGCACACACACAACCACCCATGCACATACACAATCTGTACACACACCACCTGTGCACACACATGCACGCACACACATGCACACACACCCATGCACACACATAACCCGTGCACGCACAACCATCATGTATGCACACAAAGCACCCATGCACACCACCCCTGCATGCACACACACCACCCATGCACACATGCATACAGCCACCACCCATGCACACACTATCCATGCCCACACCACCCATGCACATACACAGTCTGCACACACACCACCTGTGCACTCACGGACACACATGCACATATACATGCACACATACATGCACACACCACCCCTGCACACACACACACCATCTGTGCATGCATGCACACACACCACCCTGTACGCACACACCACCCCTGCACACACACCACCCCTGCACGCACACACACCATCTGTGCATGCATGCACACACACCATTCCTGTACACACACACCACCCCTGCACACACACCACCTATGTACGCACATGCATACAGACACCACCCATGCACATATATACACATGCACACACACCACCCCTGCACACACATACATACAGACACCACCTATGCACACACACTATCATGCACACACATCACCCATGCATACGCACACCACCGATGCACATACACATCATCGGTGCACACACACGCACACACCACCCATGCACATACACAATCTGTACACACACCACACACGTGGACACATGCACACACATGCACACACACCACCCACGCATTCATAACCTGTACACATGCACACCACTCACGGACATACACCCACAGACGCACACACACACGCACACCATGCACACCAGTACTCCTGGGCCCATGGCACCTACTTCCGCCCCGGCCGCACTTCTCCATGCAGTACTGGTAGACGTGCAGCGTGAACAGCAGGTGGGAGCTGCGCCGGGCATCCTCGCCGCAGCCGGGTCGGCTGGAGCTGCGGGCAGCCAGGGCCGCATCCAGGTAGAAGGCTGCCCTCTCGGCTGTGGGCGCACGCAGCTCGCTCTGGTTCTGGAGCTGCAGCAGCAAGTGGGTGAGGCTCCCCAGCGGGCGGGCGGCACATCCTACCCACCCAACCGCCCTCCACAAGGAAACACGCGGGAGCTGGCGTACCTGTGCCCCGCAGACGGGGTCCTCCCACAGGTACCCGCCCGGGGACTGTGCGTCCTGGAGGCTGCCGGAGTCCAGGTCAGCCAGCAGGTCGCGCAGGCTCTGGTCGCGACCGCACACCTCCACAGCCGAGACGCGCACCGAGAAGCGGGTGCCCATGCGCTCCTTGCGCTCCTGGATGAGCTTGAAGAGCCAGGAAATGGCGCAGGGCACGACGCCCAGACTCTGGGGAGAGCTGTCCTTCCCGATCATGGTGTACGACTTGCCTGGGGGCCGTGCATGCGTCAGCACCCCAGGCTCGTGTGACAAGCGCAGAAGGGCCAACCTGGGGCCACTGAGACCCCAGGAGCCTCATCTGATCCAATCCAAGGCCTTCCAGGCCTGCAGTACCTCTGGCTTCCTCTCCAGAAGCCCTCAACCCACCCCGATGGAGCGCGACCCTCCTTCCCCACCCAGAGACAAGGACAAAGATGGCCAGGGGGCGGGGAGGGCAGCAGAATTATCTAGGGGATGGCAGCAGGAGCTTACCAAGCCTCGTGTGGCCGAAGGAAAAAATGCAGCCGTCAGCCCCACTGACCACAGCCTGCAGCACGTCAGCCACGGTCCCCGAGCAGACTTCTGCCTGGGGGTGGGGGGGGACACAGAGAATGAATGGGTGGTGCTGGGCCAAGGGGGCTGCAGCCTGGCTGTCCTCGTCACAGAGCGGTCAGCTCACAGAGCACTAGGCCGGCACACACGGGACCAAAGACACAGATCTCCCACGTGCACGTGCATGCACAAAGCACACACGGATAATACATGGAATGCACACAACACTTGCAGGATGTACCGACCAGGCACACGGCAGGTGGACATGCACACACGCACACAGAAATCACACACATACCGAAACACACAAAGTCACTCAGCCAGCATGGATGCACACACACAACACAGACCACAACACGTGGAGACACGCACACGAGCACACGGCTCCCGGCACCCATGGTGTGTCCCGGGTGAAACACCACTGCTCAGAAAGCCTAGTGCCAGGCTTCCTCTGGGCTCCTCTGCTGCCGGGGAGCCAGCAAGGGACAGTCGGAGGCCCCACCCTCCCGCCCACTTGTGGACACACCCGGAGGATGGCTGCAGAGGTCCGAGGGTCCATCCCACCCTTTGTTCGTCGTCACCCAGCGTGAGCACAGACCCAACCCCTACCCAGAGCCGGCGCCCCGCCCCATCCAGGAGGACCTGCCGCCCCTGCAGCACCTGCTCCGAGTCCTGGGGAAAGACAGCATCAAAGGCAAACATCCTGGGCACCGCGGCGGTGGCTGCACGCCGGGGGCTGGCACTGCTGGGGGGCCCAGCGGCCGGGTCATACAGGATCAGCTGCTTCTTCCTCGGGTCCACTTTCAGGAAGGACATGGACTCGGCCAAGTGCTGGGCGCCCTGCGAGGGCCAGATCCTCAGCGTGACTTTCACCTGGGGGGGGGTGAGGGGGCGGCACCTGAGCATCAGCGCGCTGCCCACCAGCCGCCTAATTACAGGGCAGGAGCCGCGTTGCGGTGCGTGGGCTGGCAGGCCAGGCCCCGGCACAGCCCACGCCACAGGAACGTGAGGGCCTGAGTGAGGTCAGCAAGGCCCAGGGCACCCAGGGGCAGAGGGACCAGTCCTCATGTGGGTGTCCTGGGAGCTTGTGGCAGCGAGAACGGCACACATGCACCCCAGTCCCCTGCTCCCCGGGAGAAGCAGTCACTGCTGACCCCCACCGGCCGCGACAACACGGGCGCTACCATTGGAAATGTGCTCAGAGAGGCTGCCATCTTGCTGAGTCATACAGCCTGAGAGCAGCGAGGGCCCTCCTGGGTCTCCAGACGCCCAGTCAGGCGCCCCCAGGACCTTGGCGCTCTCACCCCCTGCACATCTCAGTCCTCCCCAACCTGCCCCAGGTAGGGGATCTGACCACTGCCCCAGCCGAGGAGGCTGAGACGTGGGGGTCAGGTCCTGTGTTCCTTCGTCCACGCATTCATTCATTCACACATCATTCTTCCCTGCTGTGACTTCCAGCCAGATGGAACAGCAAAGCGAGGCTGGCCACAGTGCGAGCAGCTGCCGGTTCTGGGCCCCAAGGCTTAGCCCGCTCCCTGTCCTATTCCACACTTCCTCTCCACGGTCCCGAAGGGGGTCAGGCTCCAGGGGGCTGCAGCAGGAGAGCCAAGGCACAAAACCGGGGCTCCCGCCCTGCCTGGGCCCCAGGGAGGCTTCAGAGAGGGGGCTGCGTGCAGCAGGAAGGGCTAGAGTATGGGGGAGCAAGGGGTGGGAGCTGGGGGGCCGGAGCAGGCGGGCCTCAGGGCCGCCTGTGTGTGCTTTACGCCCGGGACAGTGAACTGGTGGGTTATTTCTTGTGTGTTTCCGACTGTCCCCGAGGCCTGCCAGCTCCATGGGGCAGGGCCCGACTTGGCCTCAGCTGTCCCCAGAGCTGGGACAGCGGCCTGCACACAGTAGGTGCTCAATAAACACTTAGTGACCAGTGACATCTTCAGTGTCGCCAAGAACACGGCACTGAGGGCTGAGCCCGGGCTGGGTGAGCGGCCAGGCGAGCGGCGTCATGCGGCAGACGCCCCTAACCCCATGTCCAGAGCAAGCACCCCACAAAGTGTCTGTTGTGCGAGGACGCCACGGGATTGGGGGTAGGCTGGGGCCGCCGCTGTCAGCCCAGGAGCAAAGCACCAGGTCCCATTTCCTGCCAGAGAACAGCGCCGTCCACGCATAGTTGAAATCTCCGAGTTCTCCACCCCGGTGTAAATCAAATTACCTGAGACTCATTTCAGAGCCAGTATTTTTCACGGATTTAATTGTAAGTGACAGATACATAACACCGGCAAAACTGGTTTACTGCGGGTAGTTCGCACGCGGCCCCTTCGACTCCCCTTCCGCGTACGGCAAATTGATATGCAGAACTGCCTGAGTGAGGAGTCCGCCGTCCTCCCGGGAGGAGCGTGCAGAAACGCTTTCCACTCTGCTCCTCAGAACCAACCGGGGCTCCGTGAGGAAAGAATCGATTCTCTTATTCCCCGATGACACGAACAGAACTATTTCATTTCCAAGCACCACCACAAAGCACACGAAGATGTGCACGTCCCAGTAATTTCTGACAATTTTTTTTTCTGCGTGAATTCTCCGCCACTTCAGGAGCCAAATGGGTTCTGTGGATTTGAGAGAACTCCTAGCGGGGGGAAGAGGCGCTCGAGAAGCCAGCGATTTTGCTCTCGATGAGAGACAGCACTGTCACTGGTGATGGGCTGCCCTCTGGAGCAGGGACATTAATCCCAGCGTGGGGGCTGCGGGCGAGGGGGGCGGCCAGAGGGGCCAGCCAACCAGCCTGAGGCCGGCCTGTCCTGACCAAGAGCGCTGGGCCATTGTCTGAGATCGAGAATCCTGTCATTATCTGGGAAATGGCAGGGTCTTTGCACGCGACAAGCACATCAAATCTCTCCTCTAAACGTTCAGATATCACAAAGCCTCAATGAATAGTTGCCTGGGAGGAAAAAACACATTTTGCATAAAAAAGGGCTTGTAGCACCAGGCAGGCGAAGGGGGAGGGGCGCCGCGGCACCCACGGAGCAAGGGATGTCTTTTTTAATACCACAACATGATGAATTATCTGAAGTAGCACATTACTGTCAGAAATGGAAGGTAATCTAACTTCTTTTCTCTGACAATATTAAACGCCTTTCAAGCGAGCATTTCTGACTATGTGGCGTCTGTGCTAATAGCAGCAGGAGCCAGAGGGGCAGGGTGGGGGGCTCCTGGCCTCTGGGAAGGGCCGCATGGTTGGAACTGCAGGGGAAGGCAGAGGAGTCTGTACAGAGAAGAAGGGAAAGCCCCCGAGGGAGGCGGTGGGGAGGCCGCCCCCTGAGTAATGATACACCACAGCAACAGGGAAGGTACCGCATGCTAACCCAGAAGCTGCCACCGCGGTAACCTCAAAGCCCCCCCGGGAGAGACAACTTCCCGACCTGCTGCAAACGGAGAAGCTGGGGGTCACAGGCAGGTGGGTCCCAGTCACAGAGGAAGACCCGTGGCCGGCTGGCCAGCAGTCTGTGGCCACAAGGCCCACCCACTGCAGCCGCCTGCCCACGGGTCTCAACTCGGCTCTCCACTGCCATCAGTGCCCGGCAGGCCAGGGCCCCAGCTGGTGAGGGTGGACGGCCGAGAGTTCGGGGTCAGGCAGGCCTGAGCCCTGTCTGTCCTCCACGTCCAGGAGACATAAGCCCCTCCCACCCCCTCGGGCCCTCAGCGCTGCCCAACACAGGGACCAGGCCGCAGTCACTCTGCAGACCTCCCGAGAGCCAGGAGCTGGGGCAAGATCGGTGTCACCAGGCGGCCGGTAACCTGGCCTTATTCCAGCCCTTGGGCTGGGCAGACGACGAGGCAGCCACACCAGGGCACGACCTTCCGGTGATCACCCAGGAGGACCCGGGGGGGCCAGGAAGTTCACAGTCCCCGCCATGGTGAGCAAGGCTAAGAGGAGAGAAGTGTGTCGTCCGGGGTCACGCGGCCAGTAGGGCCGCGCCAGGGGTGGGGAGACCCAGCTGGAGGTCCAGCAGAAGCACCGCGCCCACCAGGGTCTGGACCCGTCCTGAGCCATGGCCGCGCCCCCTGCAGGTGACCTCGGGGACTGCACCCCAACCCGCCAGCCACCAGGGCTATGAGAGGTGTCTGCCCACCTCCACACGCCCTGCCCACCCCCACAGGCTGCCTGGGCCCCACTCCCACACCGCATTCCCGAACTGGACCCTCCCTCAGCACCCACTGCCGCCCCAACAGCAGCCACCCCCACCTCAGGCTGGGACTGGGCCCTGAGGGCCACAGAGGGAGGGGGCTGCCTTTGGGAAGGGGCTGGGGGGCTGGGGGCCTCTGAGAGGGCAGCCACACCGGAGATTCCCAACCAAGCGCTGCCTTGGGTGGGGCCTCGGGGGGTTAAAGGCCCAGGTGGTGCTGACACTGGTCATCACAGTCGCCAGCACCAGGACGGAGACCCGGCCGAGCTGACCAAAATCCTCTCTAGCCAGGAGTCGGCCAGACAGGGCCAGGCCCCTCCCGCTCTGGGGCGCAGCCTCCCCACCTGAACCAAGGCGGCACCTGAATTGACGGGGCACACTTGTTCCTTTTTCTCAGGGTGTGGCAGGCTACGGCTGGGACCTGAGCTGAGGGGCCATAACCCCACCCCCGGCCCACCGCAAGGGCAGGAGGGCAGCCCCCAGCAGAGAAGCAAGGGGGCTCCTTTGATCACACCCCCCCCTGGACCTGGCTGCCCCCTACACATGCTCCCCGCACCGCTCTCTGCCCCCCAGCCTCAGTCTCCCCATCTGCAACCCACAGGCCACCCCCATCCAACCTGGGTTGAGAAAGTGGACCCCCCCTACCTCCAGCTGCCCCTCCTTGCCCCTTCTCAGACACCCCTGCCCCACCCTCAGGGTTACCCCCAACACAGGGCAGGGTCTACCTTTCCAACACCACCAGGGGTGTCCTTAGCCTTGGCGACCCTGAGCAGGCAGGGGGGCACGGGCGGCGGCCACAGCTGCAGGATGCCACTGAAGTCCGTGGGGTAGGTGGAGGCACCGCGGGTGGTGGGGGCCGGGGGTGGTGGCGGCGGCGGAGGGGGCTTCTTGCGCTTGGAGGCCAGGCTGAGCTTCTGGGCGGCCCTGGTGGGGAGAAGGGGGCTCAGCGTGGGCACTGGTACTGTGTTTGGTCCTGACGAAGTAACGCATTCCAGGCGTCCAGCACGGTGGTCTGCATACAGGAGGAGCTCAATAAATGCAGAACCCGCACCGTCCCACACACCTCACGCCCTCACCGCCCTCACCGGGAGCGAAGCAGCCATCCCTGCCCCCCGGCTCAGGTGCCAGCCCACCCTCCCGTCCGGGGCTGCTGGGAAGGCCTCTTCCCGCTCCCCTCCACCTGCCGCCCTGACCACCCTGCCCCTGCCCACGGCACCCACAGCATCCGGGACTTGCAGGAATGCAGATTCCCAAGCCCCACCCCAGACCCATGGAGAGCCCAGGCACCTAGGCTTTCACATGCCCTCAGGGGGATTCTGATGCAGGCTTGAGAGCCAACGATGCAGACAGCGGGAACGCCCAGCCTGCAGCGCACACGCACACAGACGGGCGTGACAATCACACACACAGATACACGGGCGCAAATGCACACACACATGCACGTACATGCGAGCACACACACACGTGGACATGCAACCATCACATGCACGTGCACACACCTGCACGCAGAGGCAGACACGTGAACACGCACACGGATATGCACACACAATCACACATGCACACACACAGAGGCATGTGAGCACACACACACGTGGATGTGTACACACAATCACACATGCACACACGTGCACGCACACAGAGGCATGTGAGCGCACACACAGACACACGCACACACAGAGCCACGCGCATGCACACGTGCTCACACACACTCTCCCTCACAAAACCCTCACAGCCCAGGTCTCTGTTCACGGATTCCTCCCAGGGACATGGTCCCCAAGCTCCACTCCCCGAGATTCATCAGTCCCCAGGGGCTTCTCTGCACCACCAGCCCCTCCCTGCCAGGATTGCCACAGTGTCCCAGCAGGCCCTGTGCGGCACCCCCAGCCCCCACCAGACAGTAGGCTTCCCAGGCTATGCTGCCCTCCCCGGCCTCCCCACCTCTGCCTGCACAGGCGACACCAGGGACCCCACGATGTGCTTCAAACACGGGGCCTGGTCTGCACTCGGGCTCCCGCGGCCAGGTGGTCAGGCCCGAGGTCTCGCCGAGAGGAGGTGGAGCAACTATGGGTGCCGCTGCGGGCCCTACACCCCAATTCCCACCCCTGGCTCCTTGGCCCCTGCCCGCCTCCCCTCAAAGTCCCCCGGGTTTCTCAAGCCTAAATTGTCTTCTCAAAGCGACCCCGAAGTGTCCAGCCGAACCCAGGGCGGCGGCCCAGATCCTCCCATGGCCCTCGGCGGTGCTTCCCACCCCCCTCCACGGGCTCCCACCGGCGTTTTGCTAAACTCCTCTTATCTTTAATAGGAGTTGTCTTTAAGGAGACCCCAGGGACAGCTTTTCTCCTAGTGAGGTGTCATCACGGAAAATAAAAGTAATCTACGATGCGAGGCGGCAGCCGATGGAGTAGCGCGGGGGCTACGGAGCCCGGGGCGCGCGGCGGAGGGGAGGGGAGGGGTGGGGCCGGCAGGGCCTCAGCGGAGCCCTCAGCCCGGGTACCTGGCCTCTGGCCACATCAGCGTCTGCCCTCAGATAGGGCCTGGGGCCCCAGAGCCCCCAGACCCCACAGACATCGTGAGCACGTCTGCCCCAGCAGACCAGAAGGTGTGGGCCAGCCTGGGTCCCCTGAGCCAGTTCACGGTCCTCCTTGCAGTCCTGTTGTTGCGTGCGGTGGAGTCGATTCTGACTCATGGTGACCCCATGTGACAGAGAACTGCCTCACAGGGGTCTAGGCTGTAATCGTTATGGAAAAATTGCCAGGTCTTTCTCCTGTGGAGCCGAGAGGTGGGCCAGGCTAACAAACAGCCATGGCCAGACGGGCCCCTGCCCAGCCCCCTGGGGCCCAGCGGGGTCACCGTAGGCAATGTCCATGCCACCTTCATACCCCGAGGTGGCCACTTACAGTCCAGTGGGGCAGGGGTGTCCTGAACTCACCTCAAGCCTCCAAGGGCAGGTGAGCCTGGGAGGACCAGGTGACATCAAGGCTGAAACCAAATCTGCAGGCTGAGGCCAGAAGGCCCATGGCTGCCAAGGAGCTGGGGTGCAGGCAGGCCTGGGCCCCAGTGCACCTGGGGGCCTGACGGTGGGGGTAAGGGAGGTGTCTTCCACGGGGCACACCCTGGCCCCAGGGCACCTGGACAGAGGCTGGACCGAGGCCTCTGAGCCCCTGCCAGGCCAGGAGGTAGATTCTACTGTGGCCTGACCCAACTTGGGCGCCTCCCTCTCCTGCCGGCCGGCCCCCAGGCGCTGCTTTACGGGCTCCCTCCCCAGCGTGACTCAAAGGTGCGTCACCGTTAGTGAGGCCTGGGGACGGCGCTTTCCCCTTTGATGGCGGTCAGCCTCCCTGGGAACCTGGGCGCGCCCATGGCCCACACCCACATCCCACTCGGGGCTGCGCGTTGCCCGGGAGGCCCTCAGCCTGTCAGGGGTGCAGACTGGTTCCTGAGCAGTGACGGAGGACATTGGGGGGGGTGGGGGACGCCAGGCCCACAGAGCGGGGAAAGGGAGACGTGGGCCGAGGCAGCTGCCACACTCGGGGGCCCACCAGGTGTCCGGGGTGACTGGGAGGTAAGGGCGCAGCAAGGAGTGTGCCAGGCCTGTAGTGGTCTCCCTCGGAAAGAAGGCTCGGGAGAGCAGGAGCTTTACCTGACAATGTACCCCCCTCATCCTCAGAAGACACCTCCGCCAGGAATCCTGCCCTGATGGCCCCGAGCTGGCCCCCAACATCATAGGGCCACCCCCTGCCCTGAGGGGGTGTTCCCCTGAACATCTCTTCTCCCAGGTAAACAGGACGCACACATGAATGAGTGAGTGGATGGATGAACGAATGAATGAACGAACGAGGGAGGGAGTGGGCTCCTCCCACTGGTCAGCCCTTCACCACCATCCCGCAGGGCCTTCCCCGGCTCACTGCCCTGGCCGCCGAGTCACGTAAACAGAAAGGAAGTTTTCTGCCTTTGTGCAGAGAAAGCTGCCTCCCCGACCAGAAGGGGACCCCACAGTGGCTGGCCTGATGGCAGAGCCTGAATCACCACGACACGCACGGGCCTGTCCAGGCGTGTGAGGGTCAGTTAAGGCCAAGTCAGTGCTTCCTAACTGCTAGGATGCGGCTGCCCCTGCACCCACCCTCGGGGTCCCGAGATCCCCCAGAGTCTCCATCCCAGTGCCAGGGGTGGAGGGGGGCCGTCCATCAGCTATGAGGGACTCTGGCCCCCAGCCACTGGTGTCTGCACCTCCCCGATGCTCCAGGACAGGTCTAGGGGCTGGGTTCCAGGTCAGATGGGGTGGGGGAGGGCTGCTGAGACTACAGCACCCCAGCGTGGATGGAGGGAGTAGGGGGGACACAGAGCAAGAGACACAGAGCAGGGGGGACACAGAGCAGACGGACACAGAGCAGGGGTGACACAGAGCAGGGGGTGACACAGAACCGGGGGGACACAGAGCAGGGGGGACACAGAGCAGGGGGACACAGAGCACGGGGGACACACAGCGGGGGGACACAGAGTAGGGGGACACAGAGCAGGGTGAGACACAGAGCAGGGGGACACAGAGCAGGGGGACACAGAACAGGGGGGACACAGAGCAGGGGGACACAGAGTGGGGAGGGACACAGAGCAGGGGGGACACAGCTGGAGGACACAGAGCAGAGGGGACACAGAGCAGAGGGACACAGAGCAGAGGGACGCAGAGCAGAGGGGATACAGAGCAGGGGGACACAGAGTGGGGAGGGACACAGAGAAGGGGGAGACACAGAGCTGGAGGACACAGAGCCGAGGGGACACAGAGCAGGGGGACACAGAGTGGGGAGGGACACAGAGAAGGGGGAGACACAGAGCTGGAGGACACAGAGCCGAGGGGACACAGAGCAGGGGGACACAGAGTGGGGAGGGACACAGAGAAGGGGGAGACACAGAGCTGGAGGACACAGAGCCGAGGGGACACAGAGCAGGGGGACACAGAGTGGGGAGGGACACAGAGAAGGGGGAGACACAGAGCTGGAGGACACAGAGCAGAGGGGACACAGAGCAGAGGGACACAGAGCAGGAGACAAAGAGCAGGGGGGACACAGAGCAGAGGGACACAGAGCAGAGAGACACAGAGCAGGAGGGACACAGAGCAGGGGGGGAAACAGAGCAGGAGACGAAGAGCGGGGGGACACAGAGCAGGGGGACACAGAGCAGGGGGACACAGAGCAGACAGAGCAGGGGGACACAGAGCGGGGGGACCCAGCGCAGGGGGGACACAGAGCAGGGGGACCCAGCGCAGGTGGGACACAGAGCGGGGGGACCCAGCGCAGGGGGGACACAGAGCAGGGGGACCCAGCGCAGGTGGGACACAGAGCAGGGGATACAGAGCTGAGGGGACACAGAGCAGGGGGACACAGAGCAGAGGGGACACAGAGCAGAGGGGACACAGAGCAGGGGGACCCAGAGTGGGGAGGAACACACAGCAGGGGGGACACAGAGCTGGAGGACACAGAGCAGAGGGGACACAGAGCAGAGGGACACAGAGCAGGGGGACACAGAACGGGGACACAGAGTAGGGGGGACACAGAGCAGGGGGACACAGAATGGGGGGACACAGAGCAGGGGACACAGAGCAGGGAGTGTGAGTAGGGGAGTGGGGGGCAGGAGTGCAGGGAAACACTGAGGCCCTGTGCTGGGGACACTGGGACACAGGGTGCAGACACAGGGCCCTGTATTGGGCACTGGGGGCCCGAGAGACAGCACAGTGCAGGCCCTACCCTGGCCTGGGGTCACCTGGGAGGGCCGGAATGAAGGCACTCGGGAGAGACAGAGGAGACTGCAGAGGCGGGGACATGGGCAGGACAGGAGGGGCCCAGAGCTGGTGGGAGGCAGCGGGGGTGGGGGTGGTTACGCAGTAGGGAGTGGGAGGGCTTAGAAGGAGGAGGCTCAGAGCCCCCGGAGGAAATGTGGTGAGGGGTCTCCCAGCCCACAGGGTGTCCTTCCAGAAACACCTTGCTGAGAGCAGAGTGCCGAGCTTTGCGGCCTTGGGCCCCATGAGCTGGCGCAGGCCCCGCCCTCTGGTCAGGGAGCTCAGTCCGCACCCCACAAGATGGCGTGACCTGGGCACTCAGCCCCCAGAGCCGCCCCACACCTTCCCACACAAAATAAGGGTCAGGGCTGCTGGGGGTCGCCGGGAGGGTCTGAGGTCACGGGGAGCGCTCCAGCGCCGGTGGCAGAGCCCAGATTCACCCAAGACTGAGGGGCTCCAGAGCCCCAGTTGGGACTCCACCCCACTCTGCTCCACCTGGCAAGCCTCACCCACCAGACTCCTATTCAACCCTCAAAGCCCACCTGTGGCCACAGCACCGGGGCAGCACTCTGCTCTGTCCCTCCTCCTGTCTCACGCTGCCATCAAAGGCAGACCCCATCACTGCCTGGAAACTTCAAGGGCAGACGTGGGCGGGGTCAGCTCTGCCCCTCCAGGTCCTTAGTGGGGGGTGGGGTACCCAGGAGAGTGTATGTGTCCGGAACAAACCTTGGCCCCAAGGGGGCCCAGGGGCTGCCATTCTCTCTGTGGTCTCTGGACAAACCCCTTCCCCTCTCTGAGCTGCAGTCCCCTCCCCACAAAGCGAGGGGAGGGGATGATTACAGATACTGCCAACTCAAAAGGCCCCCAACTCAACCCAAGCAAGCTCACTGGGCCCACTGGGGGCCAGCTTCTGGGTGGCCACAAGCACCCCCATCATCACGCCTGAGGCACACCTGGGGAAGCTGCCTCCCAGGCCCAGCCTGGTTTCAGGGCCGCTCATCGCTGGTTTCTATGGAAACTTCCCAAGGTCAGCGGAGCCCCCGGCTCAGCTCCCAGACAAAGGCAGAGAGGGCTGCTGCTGCTGGGTGGGCAAATGAGCCGCTGTGGGGACCCCAGCTTTCCTCATGCCTCTCAGCCAGATGGCCCTCACCAGGCATCTGGGCGGCCCAGGAACTTGGGGCCATGGGGCTGCCCCCACTTGGAGAAAGCCTCAGCTTGACATCCTCCCACGGCAGGTGGGGACAGTGGCCCCCACAGCCCCGGTGCAAAGCTGTTTCCAATGTGACACCCTGGAGCTGGGACCCTGGGGGTACAATTCCAGGCTGCACTGGCGTTGCCCCTTTGCCTTACGCCCCACACCCTCCTGCTGCCAAAGGCCCCAGGACCCCCGCCCAGCCCTGCACCTAATTGAGCCGCGGGCCGGCTGCAGCCGCATTAGTGATTCCCGGCCATGCTCCAACAAGGCGGGGCGCTCGTCAGCCGCGGCGACAATGCCCTAATCGTATGCCCTGTCACTCCCCAATCAGCCCGCAGTCCCCCGGGCCAGCGCTGATAAGGCGCCTGTGCGCCCGCCTGGCCCAGCGGGATCCACGGACAAGCTGATGGCCAGTCGCTTATCAGTCCCGGGACGCTGCTAATGGGACAGTGACCCGAGCCAGGCCTGCCATTACCGCTCATTAGCCACGATTACATCCTTTAATCCCCAGCCCTGCACGCCTGGGAGAAAAGAGGAGGCCACCTGGGTCTGAGAACCCCAGGGCCCCGGCCGGGGTGGGGAGGGGGCCTGCTCTGCCCATGCCGTCCCTGGCACAGCCTTGTCCACACCCAGCCAGCTCAGCCAAGGACTTGTGCCCGAGGAGCATTGGACTCTGTATTCTGGGGCACCCGGAGAGGGTCACGCCCACCCACCCAGAACCCACTGTGGGTTAGGGACATGCAGTGCAATAGCCGTGGTCACCCCCAACGTGGGACGCTCCTGGACGCTGGAGAACTAGACCTCCCAGTGAGGAGGGCAGAGGGTGCTTCGGAATGTGCCGGAAGACGAGAGCGGCTGTGGGCTCTTGGTGCAGGCCAGCCCTCCAGGATGCCTCCCTCTCCACCTCCCCGGCCCGGCCCCCAGGGACACCCCCACTTCCTGCCCTCCGTGCTCCCCCACTGCAGTGGGAGCTGCCCGGGGCTGCATCCACCTCACCTCTGCTCCTTCCCTGTACTGGCCCCCATCCCCCCTGCGGCCCCGTGAGCGTCCTCACCCGAGGCCAGGCCTGTCCTAGGTGGTCACCACACCTCACAGCCACTCTTGGGGGTAGACGCCCACTTTACAGGTACGAAAACTGAGGCACAGAGAGGTTTAGGGACTCACCGAGGTCAGACACGGTGGAGACTGGGTTCAAACCGAGGACGTTCCCAGCAACTGGCCATGAAGCCTCCCGTTGGCAAGGGGTCCCCACCAGGGCAAGAGGCATCTGGATGCCGCTGAGAGGCTCAGGACAGACGCTGCTCTTCCTCGCTGGCCACCCAGTCGGCCCACACGCCTCTCCCCATCGCTCCTCCCGGCCCCTCACTCAGCATCAGGAGAAGCCCCGGTCTCCAGGGAAGTTCGCAGGCCACCCCAGGTCAGGAGCCCCGGGTCCCCACCCGCTGCCGGTTTCCGAACCGCCTGAGCCAGCCGGAAGGCCAGAGCGCACCTGAGGAAGAAGGAGGCCGCGGCCGACGGTCCTGCAGAACCTGCCGCCGTGGGGGCCGGGGTGACCAGGGCTGTGGTACAGGCCCCGCCGAGGCCCCACGCCTGTGACACACCGTCGGGGTCCGATGTGGGGGGGCCGTCTCTGACCGTCTCCGCCACCGCCACCGCGGCCACTGCCGCCTCCGCCTGCAGGGAAGACGAGAGGCCCCGTGAGGGACAGACGAGCAGCGAGAGCCTCCCATGGCGGGAGAATGGCCGCGGGCACCTCCCACTCAGAGGCCTGTGTCCCCGCACCCAATCTCAGGGCCCCCACCCTCAGGGCCCTTCACCAGAGTGGCTGGAGGACCCCAGAAATCACAGCTGGAGACAGGGGACCAGCGGGGAGGGGGTGTGCCTGGTCCCAAGCCTCCCGCCCACTCACCAGCCTGCTCACATCTGGGTACTGCAGTGGAGCCCAGTGGGGTACAGCCCTGCCAGCTGGGGGTGAGGGTGCACACGCTGGGCTGGGCACCGTGGAGAGAGGGGACGTAGGTGGGCGCCCAAGGGCACCAGGACCCAGGAGGTCCCCTGACTTCCTGCCCTTCCCCCCCAGTTTCAGAGCTGCGGGGACCCCAGAGGTCAAGACGGCCAGACGCAGACCCTTGCACCCCTCGTCCCCGGCCAGCCATCTGGGAGCACCAAGAGGCGTAATTAGGAGGAGCCCACAATAAATATTTGTCGCGAGCCCTAACTGCTCCATGTATGGCAATCTATGACGTTTCCATCATCTGAAATACTACTCTGGCATTTGCAACTAATTAGCTAAAATAAATTCCAGAAACGGAGACAGCCTCATAATGAAGCACAAATGTAATTAAATGCCCCAGACGGGCGCCGGCAAACTCCAGGCCCGGCCGCCCTATATTTCGTCCTATAGGGACGTGTCAGCCCGGACCCCAGGCCCGTGCCACGAAGCCACCCTGAGCCTCAGGCCTGGCCCTAGGGCAGGGGGCTGGGGGAAGCAGCCCCTGGGGGGCAGGAAGGCATCCTGCCTCAGCAGGGTCACCCTCGGTACCCCTTCCTCAATGACCCTGTCCCAGCCCACCAATGCTCCCGGCACTCATCCCGGTCACTGGGGGCACCTCAGCTCTGATCGGTCCTGAGTATTCAAGGGACGACCCTCCTGGCAGAGCGCAGGGACCCCACACAGACAAGGCTCAGGCTGCATATGACCTGTCTGGTGGCCTGGGGGTGATAGCCAGGGTGGTACCACGCTCGGGGCTCAGCGTCCTTGGGGTCTCCCAAGCGACCCAGCCAGAGACTAGGGCGGTTCATCAGCAGAACGAGCCGCTGGGCCCAGCTTCCCAGCTCTCCGCAGCGGGGGTCCCACCCCTGCCCCCAGCCCTCCCAGCCCCCACAGCCAGTATTGTTCTCAAGTCACTCTTGGGGTACAAAGCAGAGCTGTGTCTGCAAGACAGCTCCACAGGGAGCCCTACAGGCGATACGGACGTCGAGCACACCCATGGCCCCTGCCCCCGGTCCCCAGGACACCGGCCACCCCCCAGAGCCACTAGGACAGGAGGCAGCAGTCAGAGAAGGCAGGGCTGGACAGCCCAGGGCCTCACCTGCCTCTGCTGTCTGCAGCCCAGGCCCTCAGTACATGCGCCAGCACCCCACACCCCCACCTCAGCCTGGAAGGCTGGGCTGCACGTCTCAGGAGGAACTCCTACTCACCCCTCAGAACCCAGCCGAGCCAGCCCTCTCCTTCTCAGGCACTCCCTGCCCTGGCCCCGGTGCCCTGCCTGGCCTCCCCCAGCCCTCTGACCTCTCCTGGGCTCGACCCTGACTGTGTCCTGCTCTCACCAAGGAGCAGGGCCATCCTCGATTCCAAAGCCCTGTGCACACCCATTCCACCCCCAGGAGCAGCCGGTGTGAGCCAGGAGCCCAGGAGCCCCCCAGGGCACTCACTGTCCTGCCCGGCCTCCTGCCACCCTTCTGTCTGGCACTCAGTAGGTATTCAATGCACCAAAACCCTCTCCAGAGCTCAGCCTGGCAGGGACGGCTGCCTGGACAGCCCTGCCCGCAGCCGGGAAGAGAGCCGACAGCTGGGGACACGGGGGGTACCAGCCCGCAGGGACGCTCAGGAGGAGGGTCAGCCCGGCCAAGACTGGGCACCGAGGGTGAGAACGTGGTTCTTCCACCATGTGGCCACAGAGGCCTGGGGGCCCGCGGGTGTGGACGCATAGCTGTGCACCCCCGACCCCCGTACACAGGATGATTTGATGTCCCCTGTCCTGGGAGGTCAAGTCCCTCTTTATCACTTAGCACACGTGTGCTCTGTGGAACGCTCACTCCTTTGTCACACAGAGCGGAGCAGGACAGAACGAATTAAAGTTACGACGTGCTGATGTCCACCACCACGGCCGGCGCCCCTCGGAACAGTGACAGGTTGGGCTGGGCATCCCTGGGTGCCACTGCGGGCAGCGCTGCACGGAGTCACCCTGGTACTCTGAATGGGCTCCTGCCAGCCCCTAGGGGGGACGCACCCGGGGCCCTGGGACAGCTCGAATGACACTGTCCAAAGGAGGCATCCCAGTGCCCCCCGGACAGTGGGGGCCGAGGCGGGGAGGTGACAGCGGGGGCAGAGCCGTGCCCCAGTGCTGCACCACAGCCCTACCCGGCCCCTCCCAGACGTGCAGGCATCTCCGCCTCCAGCCGGAACGTTCCAGCACCGGCCGGCATCCGTGCACACCGGCTGAGTGCCACACTGACCTGTCTCAGGAGGTCCTGCGCACTCCTGGCTCCGCCGCCATCCCCACGCGCTGCTGGGACGCGGCTCCGTCGGTCGGAACGGCCCCGGCCGATCCCTGCCGGAAGCAGAACCCAAGCATGCCGAAAGAAGCCGTTTGGCAAGCGAGAGGTGGAGGGAGGAGGGTGGCGGCAAGAAGGGAGACCACATGTGGAGAGGAGAGAGGGGGTCACGGGGGTGGGGGGGCGGCCAAACAAAACGAGATGGAGGCTCACAAGCAGCAACGAAAGGAAAAGCAGGAAGAGAAGGTGTCAGCAGGACCGGACCCACGCCCTACAGAACCCACACCGCGTGGCCCGCACCCACGCCCTGCAGAACCCACACCGCGCGGCCCGCACCCACGCCCTACGGAACCCACACCGCGCGGCCTGCACCCAAGCCCCCGACCCACAGAACTGACACCGTGGAACCTGCTACGCGGGATCCCTGACCCCATCTTAAGGGAACCCCACTGGCCTGTGTGGGTCCTGGGGGTTCATGGAACACAGTTTGGTAAATGCCACACTAAGCACTTTCTGGGGAGCTCCACCCTGGATGCTGTCTCTGCGGACTCTGGACCTCACGGAGCTGTTTCGTGCAGAAAGGTGGGGGAGAGCAGAAGGTGGGAGGTGGGGTGCTGGGGAAGGCTGGTGCTGAGCGGCCAGGGCAACCAGGAGCAAGGGGTGGACACAGGGCTGAAGGCACAGCTGGGTCAGTCGGGAGGGGCCTCGAATGCCGGCCCCACCCCTGCAAGGAGGGAGAGGATGGGACTGCCTTGTGAGAATGTTCTGGGACCTCACTACGACAGACACGCCCCCTCCCCCCGAAACTCTGACTCCTGAGGGCCTCAGGGTGTGGACTCCTGGGTCAGGACTGCCCTTCCCCTGCAGGGGCCCCACATGGGGGAGGGCACTGCCCACCCTCCACTCCACGGGCAGGTAAACTGAGGCAACAGCACTGGAAGTACCAGGGAAAGCCAGGGCGCAAGGCCGACCCAGCTCCCTCCACCATCCACCCTCCAGGCCAAGCCCGAGGATGAGGATGGCGGTCACCCCCCAGGGCTCGTGGCGGGAAGCCAGGCTTGCACAAGGGGGGGGCAGCAGGGTACTGAGTGTGGAGGAAAACCCTGGAGATGACCTCACCTCCACTGCCTGGGCCAGGCCGGCTGCAGCGCCTCCGCCAGGAAGTCCCCCCAGGCTGGGCTCGCTCAGCCCCAGCCCACACGGCCCAGCTGGAGTCCTCCATGCCTGGGGTCCCCTCCCTGGATCACAGCTAGGAGGTTTGCTGGACCTCAGGCAGCCAGCCCCATTCCTAAGTCACACGCAGACCCCTCAGCGTCCAGCGGCCCCTGCGGCATCAGGCTGCATGCCCCACACTGTGTCACCTCTGCAGCCCTCCCTCACTGTCCACTGCCCCTCAGAGTGTCCCTGGAGCCACCATACACCCTCTGGGCTCTGAGAAAGGACATCCTGTGGCCAGGCCCCTCCAGGCCCGTCTCAGACCTGCAGGCCCAAGGGATCCTCAGTGCCCACACACACTGGTCCCGGCCAAGGCCCAGGTCCTGGCAGGCCGGGAGCCACGGGGCCCTCACGGCCCACTCTCAGGGAGGCAGGTGGGGTCGTCCCAGAGCCCAGCTCCCTGGGGACCCTCTGCCCCCACAAAGCCTAGCGGCCTCTCCAGCAGCCCTGCTCTCGAGGGCTGACACGCCCCAGCTTCATCCTTATAGGACGCAGTCTAGAGGTGCTGAAGTAGTCCTGCTGGGCAGTGCCCCCAGCCGGAAGGGTGTCTCTAGGCACGCAGGTGGGGGAATGACCTGGAAGGGCACGCTCTGGGCACATGGGGACAGGAAGTAGCTGTGGTTTTGATTACAGCCACAGCTGTTGGCCATGGCTGCTCCACCCAGACCACTGGGGGTTCTAGGACAGCCACTCCCACAGCAAGACCACCCCCTACAGGAGCCACTCGGCAGGCTCGGGGACACAGCACCCAGAAAGTTCCAGGCCCCACCCATGGCTCCAGGAGGCCCTCAGCACCATAGGTCACCTGCCACCCCCTCCATCCGTCCCGCCAGCACCCCCTGCCGAGCCTTGGCTGAGATGTAGCGCCCCCAGGCAGACTCCCACCCCTCCACACCATGTCCTGGAGCAGTGTGGCCACAGCCCCCCGCCTGCCCCACCAGCCCGAGATAACGCTTGCCTAGAACATCGCGCTGCAGCCCGGTCAGCTGGCTGCCGTGGGGGTTCACCGCCACTTCTCTTCCTGAGGTCCACCCCATGAAGTTAACATTCCAGGGCCACCTCTAATGATCGTCCTGTGTTCAGGGAAACGGCCTCATCTGGTCTTACACTTCTAGTTACGTGTCTAATAATCTGCCTATTGATCGCCGAGACTGCTTCTAATTATAAATCCATCTCCTCCCACCCGAGATGCAATCGATACGCACGTGGAATGGGGAAGGGTGCTTGCCGCCACACTTTGGGGATGCCCAGGGAGAGCCAGCCCCCCCTCCCCATGGAGGCTTACAGACCACCCCCAGCTGCTTCCTGAAGCTCAGGTCAGACCCTCGGGTGTGGCCGGCAGTGGGCGGCCCCAGAGGGGAGACGCAGGAGGGGAGGCGCCTTTGCCCCCACCGTGGGGGGTGGGGGAGAAAGCGCCCTCTGACTTCAGTTGCTGCCTCCAGGCCCATCTGCTCCCAGCCAGTCACACCCTCCTCTGTGCCAACTGTCCGCAGGATGCAGGCAAACCTTTCTCCCCATGCACAGCGTTCGAGGCCCCTGCAAGACCTGCACTCAGCTCCCCACAAAGAAAGCAGCCCTCCCCTCCTGGAATCTCCTCCCTGGACCCTCATGTTGCCTTACACTGTCCCGACCATGCCCCACACCCAGCTGGCCCGCACCATCCCACCATCTCTGACACTTCCCTCCAGCCTGCCCCAATGCCACTGGCTCCAGGAAGCCCTCCCAGCTCACCTGGGCACAAGGGGCACCTCTGGTCTCCCCACCTCTGGCCGGTCCCTAGAGTGTTTTTCCAGGAGCCCAGCTCTCAGGCCAGGGGGCAAGAGAGGGGCGCAGAGTGGCTGGCCTGCCTCTCCTCGACCTCAAGCCAGGTGCCCGGGGCTGGGCACAGCAAGGGGTGCTGAGCAGATCCCCACACCAGCTGGGGTGCAGCAAAGGCCCACAAGCTTGGCGAGGCCCAGCAGCAATGCCCTGTCACCTGGCCGGTGGACTTTAGCACGAGCAGGGGCAGGATCCTCACCAAGGTGGCAATCTGGGAATGAGGCCAGCACCCCAAACCCAGGAGGGGGCGGGTGCTGGGCTGGGCCTGTCTTGCCCAGGATTTGCCCCCGGGGGCAGTGGAGCCTCTGGGGCTTCCCCGGAGCCTCCGTCTCCCACAGCCTGACCCAGCACCAAGACTCTGCATCTCTGCACCCCAGCCCCTCACTCTATCTCTGAGATGCCTGCACTCCGCGGGCAGAGCCCCACGAGTCTATACCCCAACTCTGCAACCACTGCGAAATGGACCGGTTCCCACGGCGTCCCCAGATCTCTGAACCTGGGGGCCCCATAGGTTGGCAAATGTGGGGGGCTTCACCATGCAGCCACCACGTGCCTGTGTGAACCTCAGGAGCAGCACATGGAGGACACAAGACCCTCACCCCCGCCCGCCGCCACCTCCCTGTCCCCTCCACTTCTTCCCTCCCTGCCCCCGACCCCCACCCCCACTCCAGCACCTCCCCCTCCCAGCTCCCTCCACGGCCAGCCTCCCCAAGCACCAAGGACATTGCCAAGCCTCCCTGCAGGCACTGCTGGACCCCAATCTCAGCACCCAACCGAGCAGCCAGGCCATACGCCCTGGGAGAGTGCACCCCTAAGTATGCAGGGCGGGCTGAGCTGTGGGGGCACCTTCAGGGGACAGACACCCTGAGACAGCCATCACAGACAATTCCGTGCACTCCCTACCCAGCCCAACACCCCACCCCTCCTGACACCCCCACCCTCGGGCCTTATCTCCTGGATGGAAAACCGGGGTATGCAGAGGAACTGGGAGAGACCCCAGCAGGCACCTTGAGCAGCCCCCACCCACCCTCAAAGCAGCTTCATTGCAGATGGGAGAGGGGGGTGCTGATGCCAACCAGGGCCCCCGAGGCTGCCGGCTCCTGCCCACGGCACCCAGAGCCCCCACAGGTGCCAGAGGTCATTCCAGGGAGGATATGCCCATGATATAGGTGCAGTGCCAGAGCCTGCTGGGGTTCCCTACTGGGTCCCCTGGGGAGGGAGAGCCTTCCCGGGGTGGGGGGCCATTCTGGAATTAGTTAGTGGGGGCAGGCAGATGCTCAGGGAGCCCGGGCCCCACCTGGGAGTGGACATGGCCCACCCACCACCTCCAGGCCCCACTCCACCTCCCGGCTCTGCCTTGGGGCAGGTCCCTGTCCCCAGGGTCCTGAGGGCAGCTGGCGTGGCAGCAGGGCCTGGGCCCTCCACACAAGGACATGCTTCCCCAATGACCTGAAGGTGAGGGTCTGACCATGTCCCAGGAGCCCCCGAGGCCCCCGGAAGTCCACAGCTTGAGGCCACATGTGGCCGTCACACATGGTCTCGTTAAGCCGAGGCCACCCCAACCCCACGTGTGGACACCGCTCAGAAAGCTGTGCCCCCAGGGAGGCTTTGACTGCCTCGACATGCCCACGGTCCCCTGGGGCAGCGTGGGCCACAGCTGAGATGTGGACAAGGGCCCTTGGAGGGAGCCAGCATCCAGCCCATGCACTCACCAGGCACGTTGGCGGGAGGAGGCTGTTCACCCCAGAGATGCTCCACATTCCCTCCAAGCACTGCTGGGCCTGGATGGTGACGGTGCTCATTGCTCCCCCAGGTCCCGAGGGGGACACTGACACCTGGACGCTGGGACCAGGCAGCCAGGCCGGCCCCTTCCTCCTGTCTGGCCCGGCCCGGCCCACTGGCCTCCCTGCTGGGCCCGCTGGGCCCGGTGCATCCCTCGGGCTGGTCATGCCACCAGGGCCTCCACGGGGGGCGTCGGAGTCCTCCCGGCGGGCAGGCGCCTGGAGCAGCTGCAGGGCCTCCCGCGTGAGCTGGTTCAGGTGGGTGGCACAGACATCACAGCGGCGCTCAGCCTCAGGACGGCACACCGGCAGGGCCCCGGGTGCCGGGAGCTTGTCCAGGAGCAGAGCAGAGAGGCGAGGGTCCTAGGGAGCAAGGGACAAAGGTGTGGTCAGTGCTGGGTGGGGCTTGCCACCCGCTGCCTGTCCTCCTCAGCCACCACCACACAATCCATAACTCTCTAATAAGCCACAAACGGTTTCATCTGCACGCGCCCAGCAGGAAAATAATTAACAGCAGGGCCCTCGAATGGCTGTTCACCTTCCCCCGTCGTTAACGTGGCTTGTAAGCGGCTAACGAGGCGTGTTTGCTGGGCTCCCCGACAACTGGGCCAGCACAGGCAGCCAAGTCCACTTGTCCCAACGGTCCCAGAGGCTGGGGAGCAGGGAGGGTACCCTCCACCTGCAGCCCCAGCCTGGGTCCCAACTGGCAGGAACCTCTGGGAGACACCTATTAAAAGCAACACCTATTCCAGAACCACACGGTCTCCCAAACGCTCACTCAACCAAGGTGGGGTTGGGAGGCTGGAGACCCCCTCCCTGCCTTTGCGAGGTCCCCAGCCCTGGTCCACATGAGGAGGAAAAGTGATGCTGGACCCTGTACGTGTGCCACAGAAGTCACATCTCTCAACAAAACTGACCAAGTTAACATGTGGCAGCGGGAAGCAAGGCACTCAGAGTTCTGCAAGGAGACCCCACCAAAGACCCCGCTGAAAACCCCATGGAAGACCCCACTGAAGACCCTGCTGAAGACCCCATGGAAGACCCTGCTGAAGACCCAACTGAAGACCCCTCAAAAGACCCCACTGAAGACCCCTCAGAAGACCCCCGCTGAAAGCCCCTCAGAAGACCCTGCTGAAGACCCCATGGAAGACCCCTCAGAAAACCCCTCAGAAGACCCTGCTGGAGACTCCATGGAAGGAGCAAGTGCTGGAGGGCAGGAGGCAAGGCTGGAGGCCCAGACTGCTTGACTCGAGCTGACTCAACCCCTCTCGGCTCTGAGCTGCTCGGTGGGTGGCCCCTAGTCCCGCTCTCCCCATCCCCTGAACTGGGAGAGACACATGGGTCTCTACTGGGGGGCTGGCTGGAGCCCAGAGGGGAAAGAACGAGAGCCTGGGGAGCCCAGAGGAGGCCCCTCACCCAGCCTGGAGTCAGGGAAGGCTTCCTGGAGGAGGTGGCACCTTCCAGGAGAGGAGGAGGAGGAAGGAGAGAGGGAGGAGGGGGAGGGGGCATTCCTTGGACAAACCTCACCAGTGGGAAACCATCAAGTCCCTATTCCCATGGGCCTATCCTGTGTCCCCCACCAGCTCCCACAGGCTCTGCCTCTCCCCTCCCCAGGGCAGCCCTGCAGGGGCCAGGGTCTAAGGCCAGGCCAGGGTCTGCTCTGCTCCAGGAGGAGTGGTCTGGCTCTCTGGGCCCCAGGACAGCCCACCCTTGCATCCTGCCCCTTCCCCGAGGGGTGTGCCCCAACCACAGGGGGCCGCCTGCCAGGGGCAGCCCCACGTGCACAGCACCCGCCCAGCCCAGCTTCGGCAGTGACCGCCGGCTTTTCCAGGTCCCCCCACGACAGTGCAGAACCCCAGTGCTGCCCTGTGCTTCCACTTCAGCCCCCTTCCCAGCAGGCTGGCTCCACTGGCCCTCACACCTCACCTGATGGTCACGCTCTGGGCCGACCACAACCCGCACAGGGGGCAGAACCCACGGAGCCTGGCGCCCTCCGTCTGCCCCGGCCACAGGTCCAAGGTCTGGCTCCAATCCAGCCACCCTGCTGGCCACAAAAGGGGCCATGGACCCCAAACACACCCATTTCTCAGATGAGGAAGCTGAGTCCACCACCCCCACCCACATTCCCTGTGCCTGCCTGTGGCCAGCCAGACCTATGTCCATGGACGCCGGAGGCGGGGGGGGGTCACATCTGGGGGACAGCTGTGGCTTAAGGTGGGGATCCTCAGCCGGCACCCAGCTCTCAGCCCAGTACGAGTGGCCGATCATTCTCCTCCGTGTCCTCAGCAGCACCCCACACCCCTGCAGGGCAAACCCCAGCTCGGACCTCAGCCACTGAGAAGTTCTCCCCCTGCCCAGGGCAGACCCTCTGGGATGAAAGGGTGACCCCAGCCGGCGCCGGCTCATTTATCTCATTTATCGGCTATCCCGGAAGGCCTGGTTCTCTCCGGCTGGGGCTGAAATGCCCAGTGTCTGGTCCCTATTAGCAGCCCCCCCACTCCTGCAGGCACCCCGGGAAGTGCTCTGAGGTCAGAAATGCCAGATCAAAGGGCCCACAAGGGGCCCTGTCAGATAGCCCTGGCAGGGGGCCCCGGAGGTGGAGGGCACGGAAATGCTATAGGAACCCCCACTCCGCTCCCTGCTTCTGGGGCCACTCCCAGGCAGGGGCACACAGATCCGCAAATCACACCAGATTCCCTGGCCGCGCGGGGGGCGGGGGGAGGGTCCGTACAGCAGCCGACCCATGCATCTCAGGACCCCAGCCCACAGCCGAGGGCTCAGACAGGGCCTCCAGGAGAGGGGCTTCCCCACTCCCCGCCTGGACTCTGGGTTCTGCCGATGCCTATTTTCCAGGTCCCCGCTCTGATGACTCCGTTTTTCCACTCAGCAGGCAGCTGCGGATGGCAGCCAGGTGGGAGGGGAAGGAAGTCTGCGGGAACCATTAGCCAACTTGAGAGGCAGGCAGCCCAGCCCCCAGCTCAGCCCAGCTCCACCCCCAGTCCAGACCAAGACCCAGTCCAGACCTAGCCCCCAGTCCCACCCCAGACCCAGATCTAGAACCAACCCCCACCCCAGACCCAGATCCAGACCTAGCCCCCATCCCAGACCCAGATCCAGACCTAGCCCCAACCCCAGACCCAGATCCAGACCTGGCCCCTAGACCCAGCCAGGCCCCCAGCCAGGCCTCCAGGCCCAAAAGCCCATTGCTCTGGGGCCTCTGCCTTTCTCGGGGGTGCAGGCCCCTGGGGAAGCTCACCTGCCACCCCCTCGTGCCCCTCACAGCAGGAGGCAGGAAGGGCAGGGCAGGGGAGGGCAAGAACCCTGACCAACCTAAGGGTGCCACCCGGACCCCCACCCCACCTGGGCCAGGCACAGAGGGTGACTGACAGAAAAGGTGAGAGAAGGCCAGAGTGGCCCCAGCCCCCCACCTCGCTGTGTCTTCAGGAATTCAGACGGTAGCATCAGGAGACCCCAGCCCCACCCCGGCCTCGGGCACTGAGCACTGAGTCACCTGGGAGCGTGGGGGTCAGGCCATGGGGTCGGAGCTGGGCCATCGGCGCTGAAGGCCTTTACAAGAGCCACAGCAGCATCCCGGCTCAGGCTCCTGATGGCCCCTTCCTCCACACCCCGCCAGCCCCCAGGGTGCCAGCCCCACCCCAGCATCACACCAGGCCCCCAGCCCCCACGCCAGGCCCCCAGCCCCTAAGCCAGGCCCCCAGCCCCTAAGCCAGGCCCCCAGCCCCTAAGCCAGGCCCCCAGCACCCACACCAGACCCCCAGCACCCACACCAGGCCTGTAGGCTCCTCCCCCTAGACCCTGCGCCCAGCACCAGGGCCAGGGGTCTTTGCCGCCTGGACACACACGGGGCCTCTGACGCAGGCCTGGGCAGGGCCCAGGACCCTCGATGCACGCCCACAGCACAGGGACCCCAACCTCCCTGATCTGCAGGCAGGGGAGAGGGCAGGCAGCCTGGGGTGACCCAGCATGATTGGGGTGGAGACAAGACAGAATCCAGGTCTCCTACCCCAGCACCCTGGCCTGGAGAGGGGCATCCGGGTGGAGGCTTGTCCCAGGGAGCTGAGATTGGCTCCAGGGTGAGGCACCTCGGCAGGAGGTGAGGGCTCCCACCCACAAGCCCACAGCACCTGCCACTCTGGGCTGCAGCCTCGGTGGGACGGCCCCGCTCCCGCCCAGACGCTGACCTGGACAAAGGCCTGTCCACCCCTCCTCCCTCCCCCAGAGCTGCCAACAGAGCCCCTGCCGCACTTCCTGCCCCAACCAGACCTCAGTGGGCGCCGGCTCTGAGGCCAGGACCCTTCCCCAGACCGTCTCCCACAGGCAGCTCGGTGTCCACAGGCCCAAGCCCCTCAGGGGTCACACTGGTTTCAGGAATTTTAACCCCTGAATGCCCGGCCACCGGCCAGCCTGTCACGACTCCTCTGTATCCCGGAGCCTCCGGAACAGCAGTAACTACACCGCTATAAAATACGACTTTCAATTTCCTCCTTACAGTCTAATTAAACAGATATTTTACTTGCATTCGGAAAAAGTTTTTCTTAATTTGATTCAATTTAGCATTGTGCGCAACCCACCCATCAGGTCGCCTGGGTCCTAGGGGGCCTCCCCACAACTTAAAAATGACGACTTTTCATTTTTTATTCCTGTTCTCAGGTCTCCAAGTTGCTTTAAGTAATCCTTCCATTTTCTCCCGTGTGGGAGGCCTGGGGACTTCTCGTTGGCACGGCCAGCGGGGGGCGGGGGGGGTTGCTTCACACTCCAGGGCCAGCCGAGCCCCCCCCCGCCCGGAGACAGAGCAGGAGCTGAGCAGACTGGGGCCTCCATGGGAGGGAGAGGGGAGGGGGGAAGACCCCCAGCTCTTGGGGGCAATCCTGCTGCAGCTGCACCAGCTGTCCTCCTTTGGAGACCCCATCACTCTGTCACTAAGAAAGGGGCAACCACTGGCAGGTCTGCTGGGAGGGCAAATGGGGCCCAGACCAGGGGGTCCTTCCCCACCAGTCCCCAGTGGCCAGGAAGGGCCAGCGGCAGCACTGGAGCAGAGACCCCACAGCCTGTACACCCCCACCTCGGCCTCCCCCGCAACAAACAAAGCTCCTGGGTGTGACCACGTGCAGCCACCGTTTCCGGAGTTGACAACAGGTCCAGGAAGGGACCCCTGGCTGCCGGGAGGGAGGCTGCCCTCAGGGTCCGGCTGTCGAGGAAATTCCGATGTGGGCAGGGTCGAGGGGCCAGGGGCACAGTTTTCCAGCCTGGAAACTTCTCAGCTGTGCCGGCAACACCTCGGCTGCCCCCGGGGCCCCTCCCACCCAGCTGGGCCTCACTAAAGGCCAGACTTCCGGCCTAAG